TGTTGAAGAGAAGGGGTCCAAAGACCATGCCTAGGAAGAAGAAGAAGAGGCAAGAGCAAAACAAATGTTTTTGGTCCTAAAGGCAGGAGAGGAATCAGGAAATCAGGAGAGCATAAAGTTGTGGGAGACAAGAGGAATGAGGAGGAGGTCAGCACAAATAGAGCATAGAGTTTAAAGGAGGATAAAAATAGAAAAGGAGATTAAATTTGGCTGGTTCTCACTGGTGGCCTTTGAAAGAGCCATTACAGTGAAATCACAGATGTGCAGACCACAGTATGCGTGGGAAGAACATGAAGGTAAGGATATAAGCCATTTGCTTTTTTTCAGGTCATGAAGAGTACAAGAAAGCTAAGAATGAGGATTCCTACATTTATTCTCTGTCCTTTAATCTATGATCCCCTAGGCGTCACTTTTATAACTGGAGCCAGTGTCCCTATAAACACAAAACTTAGGGGATTTTTCCCCCCTTCTTTCTTTTTTCGTTCATTTTGCAGAAGATGTGACACTCAACTCTCTGGTGTCCGAAGCATTTGTCAGGTTTTTTGTTGAACTGGTGGGACATTATTCTTTGAGCATGACTGTCACTGAGCATGGGGAGCGTGTATTCCAAAGGGAGCCATTCCGTAAATCCCACACCTCCCGAAGTGTACGCCACTTCCTGGATCTCTTCATGGAAACTCAGATGTTTGCAGGATTCATCCAGGACCGAGAGCTTCGGAAAAGTGGGGTGAAAGGTCAGTTTCATCATAAAATTCTCCCTCTGTATTTAGTGAATACTTGAAAGATTTGAAAATAATATATAAAAAAATAGCATAAAGCTACAAGGGCTCACTATGAGTTGTTTATTATGGGAAACATTTATTTTGTGATATTGTTTTAGCTACGGAAGTACATTGGTAGTGAGTACAGAGTTTTATTCAATTGATTTTCAGTCTTAAATGTATGGCAGTTTCATCAACATGAGTTTTTCTTGTAGGTTTGTTTGAGGTCCGGGCCCTCCAGTATTTGGAAACAATTCCTGAGTCTGAGCCCAGTGGAGTGAATAGAATTTTGCGGACTCTTGGTAAGTTGCTGTGTTTTCCTGTTAGATAAATACAGTTAAAAAAAAAAAAACTTTTGCGGTAAGCATGCCTCATCACAAAAGCTTTATCATCACATCAACAATATAACCTCAAGGAGGGTGACCAGAAACCATGACCCTATTTCCAAAGTGTTTTGGAGAAAGACAAAAGTCTTTCTCAGAGGTTAGGATTCTCCATCAGAGTCGTCCATGGGGCTGTTTTCCTCAGATGAAGCTCCCTCATGATATAAGAATTCTGCATATCATGATTATTAATCTTTTCTAGGCCACATCCCTGGAAGAATCTTATTAAAATCTGTACCTTTTCCCAGAAAAATATACTTGGAGCATACAAACAAATTATGCATATAATTTTAGGGTGTTAATGGACCCCCTTGAAGCCCATCCATATGCTCCAGGTTAAAAATACCTGGTTCAGAGGGCATCTGAGGCAAAAGAGGATTTCCTGCAAGTCTCTAATTTTACTCTTCACAAGGAAACACAGTTGTTTATGATTTTTCAATTATATTTAACTTTTAATTATCCAGTATGATGTAGGAGAACAGTGGTGTGGTAGCCCCAAACAATGAAGAACCTGTATTCTATGGTATTTATATTGGTCTTTGAAATATATGCCCCCCTAATTAAAATTAGCCCCTAATTAGCTGAGAGACCATGGACAGTCATGTCTAGGGCTATTATTTCATCTTTATACCATAGTGTTAGATTAGATCAGTGGTTCTCAGCTCTGATTACAATATTATAATCTCTGGGGAATTTAAATGAAAATCCAGGGAATTTCCTGGCGTTCCAGTGGTTAGGACTTCACGCTTCCAATGAAGGGGCATGGGTTCGATCCCTGATCAGGGAACTAAGGTCCTGCAAGCTGTGTGGTGCGGCAAGAAAAAGAAAAAACAAAAAGAAAATCCACCCCACACCCCACACCAGGCTCCACAAAATCTCTGGGGAGCAGGACAGCTGATTTTAACCTACAGTCAGGTTTGAAAACCATGGGATTAGATGATGTCTCAGTTCTCTTCTACCTCTACAATTAGAAATGTGGGGATTTTGTGTGTGTGTGTTTGGTTTGGTTTGGTTTGGGGTTTTTTGGTGGTTAAACACATCAACTGGACTTCCCTGGTGGCGCAGTGGTTGAGAGTCCGCCTGCCGATGCAGGGGAGGCGGGTTCGTGCCCCAGTCCGGGAGGATCCCACATGCCGCAGAGCGGCTGGGCCCGTGAGCCATGGCCGCTGAGCCTGTGCGTCCGGAGCCTGTGCTCTGCAGTGGGAGAGGCCACAACGGTGAGAGGCCCGCGTATCGCAAAAAAACAAAACAAAAAAAACCATCAACTGATAGCTTGAGATGGCAGCTTACTTCTGGGCTGTTCTGAATGACTAGGTTTAATCCCTTGCCTCAAATAATGTATAATAAATAAAAATGAACTAATGAGAGTTCACTCTACTTTTTTCCTTTAGGAAGTAAAATGAAATTTCTTCAGAAGAAATGAAATCTTTGATTGACAGCCTCCATCCTAAATAGAACAGAAAGTGACAAAGAAACTATTTTTCCAAGAGTCAAGATGCCCTGAAGTATTCTACAAAGTCTTGAAAGTTGAAAGGTTACAGAGCGGGCCAGGTTCTCGGAGGAGGATTCTCCTGTTGCTGCTGTAGTAATCACTGGAGAATTGTTGGGAGTAGTCTGGAACCAATGCTCCCTTTACTCTGCCACCAGATTTTTTTTAAGTGGCCTTTCTTTTTGATTCTTGAGCTCATTCTTTGTGTTTTGAGCTTAGTCTATGAAGGCATTTGTCTTTTACAAGAAAGAGATGGTGTTGCATTTTAAAAACAGCTCATAGATGAGCACAATGAGAAAAGTGCTGCATTTAAGGTACTACGGAGGCATGATAGAAGTAGAGGACTAGCCCTTCTTCACACATAATTCTCATCACTGAAATACCATGGCAGCTTTAAACCTATGGGCTGTTTGAGCTGAGCTAAGGACTATACTTTTTTTTTTTTTTTGGTCTAATGCCCTGTCTAGGGGAATCTCACTTATGTGGAAGCCCTATGTATTATCACTGTTATTGAGTATCTTATAAAAATAGACATTTTATAGCGCCTCCTCCACATTGTGTGGCACTTGGGTAGCTTGTCCCACGCATGTCAGCATTAAACTTTGGGGAATTATAGCTAATGGGGGACTTCCCTGGCAGTCCAGTGGTTAAGACTCCATGCTTCCACTGCAGGGGCACAGGTTTGATCCCTGGTCCGAGAACTAAGATCCCCCATGCAGATTCCACATGCCGCATGGCATGGCCAAAAACAAGAAAAGAAAAAAATATATACCTAACAGGAAAATGTCCTTTAAGGGCATGAGAACTACCTTCTTTTTTAGTGTCCACCATGTGCCATGAATGGTACATGTATGTATGTCATCTTGTTTAGTCTTTAAATCAACTTTATGAGATATTTGCATCTGCATTTTACTAATGAGGAAAATGGAATTCAGAGTTTAAATGACTTTAAACTGAAGCTAGGACTATTAGTTTATGAACACATAGAAAGTTGGTTATTCCTACAGATGGAAATTTGAACTCTGTGGGACTATAGTTATTGAAAAAGCTTTTTTTTTGTTTTTGTTTTTTAAGCTGAAGTGTACCAGAGTCAACTTGCAGCTCTGAGAATAAGGGACTTCAAACTATAGGTGTCTAGATGAGACTTTTTTTGGTTCCTCTAGAAATGTTGGACTTTTTGCTCTAGTTAAATTGGACTCAGAATATGGACATTTCCTGGGCACACACCACATAATCACTCCAACCCATAATATCTAAAGTAGTAGTAGTGGTATGAAAGAGGAATTTGTCAGCATTGGTGTAACGCTAATTGATAAATGTTACAGCAAGTGTCAGTTTGTTTTCTTCAACTCCTGCTGATGGCTTTAACTGGCATAAAAAATATTTATTCAAACTTAAAGCATTATAAGTTGTGTTATGATACAACTTATTAACTTGTGCAGTATTGTCATTACAACCCATTCAGGTGTGCGTGAATGGATCTGGATCAGACACCATTTAAGATGGGTGCTGTATAATTCAATTCCTATAGATGTGGGCCAAGAAAATAGAACTAAGCCTATGTTAAAAAAAAAAAAAGTTTATTAAGCAGCTTACCTCAGTGTGGCTTTTACCAGACATGTCCCCATTTGGTCTCCTCTAACACTCCCACCCTGAGGGAACAATTAGTAACTGGGAATTGAGTGTTTATAAAACGGGGGTATAAGGTGTTACTGTGGTGGATCCCAGACATCCCTCTGTGAGGAGACCTTTTCTTCAGGGATGGGAGTCTTATCCCTGCGATCTGAAGCTGCTTCCTTTTCTTCAGTCTGTTTTATTATTTGTTTGTAAAGTATTACAAATTCTGGACACACTTGTAAAATAATCGCTGAAAATTTGTATAAAATGTTTACAGATCTTTTAATGAATAAACACAAAAAATTCAATGGATCTTCTGGAGAATTTGAAATAAAATTGTTTAAGCTGTAAAGATATTTTACTTCACTTAAATCTATAGCTAACACATTCATCTAATGGTAGGTAAAAGATAATCGATCCAAGACTAACCAAGCTTTAATTACAGTGGCCAACATTTCCAGGTTCTTGGCAAAGTCGGGGTCTAGATTTGCACACCGGGCACGGTATATATAGTCCGACTACCTTATTTGGTCTTTCCCTGCTTAGTCAAAAGGAACTGGAAGCCAGGGACCAGAGACTGGGCACCAGCAGTAGCAGGAGTGGTCGGAGGCAATGAGAAACTATTCTATTACCAGAAGTTCTAAGGGCAAAATGATTGGATTTTATACACGCCCTGAATGCGAAATCACAGTCTTTTTAAAAGATGGGATTAGCGGGCGGTTATCTCGCGCTGGGGGCGAGATCAGGTTCGTTTTGTTACGCAGAGTCTAAAGCTTCGCAATTTTAATTGGAGACTAGCGCCCACTTCCAGAATCTGTGAAAGAACTGCACTTAGTGCAAAGACCCTCGGGCGCTGAGAACGAAGAATGATGGGGATACAGCAAGGAAGTGCAAAGAGAGAGAAGTTTAACGGAAGAAGGTGGAAGGTTAGGAGAGTAAAGCCGAGGTGGGAAACCAGTATCTTGCTCCCCGCCAAATCCTGCAGCCAGTTCCCTCCAAAAGTTTTAAAGGATTCCCCAACCAAATATCAGCGTCCTGGAGGAAACCGAAAGTCCCAACTCCTCTCCACTTTGCTGCCAGTCGGAGGCAAAACGGTAGAGCACGTGGGGACAGGAAGTTGAGATGTACCGCTGACTAGGGGAAACCACGACGTGACGTCAATTCCGGCCAAAACAAAATGGCCGGGCAATTTCTAGCGAGCGCGCCATCAGAATTAACTTAGCAGGCGCCAAAGCTGATGCGCAGGCGACGTCATTACGTTAACGTAAGGCGCAGGAGTATTTAAGTGAACCTGAGGCAGCGCGGCGTCGGAAAACTTCGGCGAACCTAAGAATGGCGGGTACGGGTTTGGTGGCCGGAGAGGTTGTGGTGGATGCGCTGCCGTATTTTGACCAAGGTTATGAAGCGCCTGGTGTGCGGGAAGCGGTAAGTTCGGGGTGTCTGTGTAACTGACTCAGCGCTCGCTGGCCCTTAGTGCTGGAAGAATCGCTTAACAATTTGCTGCCTCTACCCTGGCCTCTGTTCTCGTTCTTAGGCTGCGGCATTGGTGGAGGAGGAAACACGCAGATACCGACCTACCAAGAACTACCTGAGCTACCTGACAGCCCCGGATTATTCCGCTTTTGAAGTAAGTGTGATGTTTTGAGCCTAGCGTATGAACCAGGATCCTGTGAATCCTTATTTTGGATCGAGAGGCTTCGCCACGTAGAAGTGAATTTTAAATTCCAGCTTTAACTGTTACTTGCTTAGCTACTACTTACCCTGTTGTATAGGTATTGTCAGTCAGTTGAAAACAGCTACACAGATAAGCCTTCCCCGGGGTTCTTATTCTGAGAACCACGGAAGGACTTTCTGGGGCTCCGCGAACTGACCTAACAATGCAAAATTTAGTGTTACGTTTTTCCGAGATAGGTTTATTGCGTAAATTCTCAAAGGGATCCTCTTCTCTCTAATTAAGGACTACTGTAAAACAAGTGATCTAGGGTTTTTTAATATATTTACAAAAGCCTAATTACCTAAACCTCTGAGAACCACTGGAGGGCGGCCTTTGTATCAAAAGTCTTAAAATATTTACTGGGTGGACGTGAATGACTGTAGAGATAAATCATATCCAAGTGAACCATATCAAACCATTTAGCTATTTAGCCCAGAAGTGCACCCCAAATACTATTTAGGGTCTAATTAGCTGAATGAAATGTAAAATATCATTTCTAAGTTAATGGATTCTGTTAGGCATTTTAGTACATACATGTTCCGTTTTTTCCCCCATTACAGTTAACCATTTATTTATGAAAGAATTCTGTTATTAAAACGCAGGATTTCCTATTGAAGTAACATGAAAAAAAATATTGGTTAAGTTTTAAGTAGGAGAGAGATGTTCCTATGGCATGCTGTTTTCCCGTGCTTTTTGTAAATGATGTTGCCCCAAATATAGATGTTATCACATTAAGAACTAAGGACAGTAATGGGTACTTATTAGCTTGATTTCTGAAAGTTTTAGATAACTGCATTCAGTCACAAACTTTTAAATACTTGAGCCAGTTTTCTTTTTACCTCTTTTAGATACAACCTGTGTTTCCTGTCTTTATAATTAGTATACTGATTAGTTAACGCTTTCTAATAGTAGAAGCTAATAGTGTACTGGGTTCACTGTCTCAGTCCTAAAAACAGCTCTGTGAACTATGTAACTGTATGTTTATTATCCCAATTTTTTAGATGGGAAAACTGCAGGTTAGGCTAACTAATTTGCCCAAGACCTTAAGCACTCCTCAAACTGCCTTTGAACTGCTCTTTCATTAATTCATTTAACAACTATTTCTGAAAATCGATTCTATTCGAGTTATTGGGGAACAGGAGTTTAAATTCTAGAGTGTGGAGACAGATAAATTAGAAAATATCAGATCATTGATAAAGCTATACAGAGAATTAAAGTAATGATGTGATACAGAGTGACTGGGTGACTGCTTTAGATAGGATGGCTGAGGAAGGCCTGTCTAAGCTGAGAATGAGAATGCTCTATGAGCAGGGATCTTTTTTGTCTTCTTCAGCACTGTATTTTCATCACCTAAAACAGTGTTTGGCACACGATAGAACCCCAGATATTTATCACTGAATGTATGAAGAGTGCCTAAGGCAGTTTAATGAATGCTTAATGTGTGCAATTCATGCCTGGAGTTCTTCTTATGACTTAGCCCTGTGAGAATTGGCTCATTCGTTGAAGAGAGTTTAGTTAAAATTCCAGATCTGTCACTTACTAGCCATGTGATGTTACGTGGCGGAAGATTGGCTTGTACTATATTTTTGTAGTTTCTGTCTTACCTAATTGTTAGTTTTTACTCTGTCACTGTGCATAGCCTTCTAGCTAGAATGCCTTAGTTTCTGCAGGAAACTAAGTAACCACATTTTCTTAGAGTTGTGTGAAACTCAGCAATAGTCCAAAAAAAAAGTCTTTCTCCAATAAAGACATGCTTAATGCACAATTTTTAAGCAAGGAATGTGACCTCTGGAAGGTCTTTTTTGCCTACTCTTTAGTCTAAATGGAATAAGATGTTGACCAAAACACTGGACTTAAAGAGGTAGAGCTATACCACATTTTTTTAAAAATAGTAAAATTGTTAGAGCAAACAGCAGAACCAGGTCCTTGTGTCCCTTCCCCTGTTACTCCTTTGCAAAGAGTAAAGTGAAAAGAGCAGCCAGGATCAAAAAGAAAGTATAGGTTTAGGCTCATAGCGCTAAAGCAAATTATTTTATGTCCCACGTCCTCTTCTCTCTTCCCATGCCCCCAGTGAATACTTAGATCCATAGTTCTCAACACTGGCTTGACTTTACAATCAACTGGTGAGTTGAAAGCAAAAGTGATAATCACGTCCTGTAGTGGGGGAGAGGAGTGATAATGTGAATTGTATTGGAATTGTTTTCGAAACTCCCATTTGATTCTAAATGTGTGCTGGCCTGAGAACCACTGATTTAGGATTAATCCTTTTCTCTGAGGGCCCCTTTACATATGAAGTGTGTGTGTGCCTGTGCACTTCTCCAGATTCTAGAGAGCACTGACTGCAGAGAAGACCTGGGGGGAAGGGAAATGATCCGTTAATAATGGATAGTAATACAGTTTGTTGATATGATTTTGGAAATAATTCTTTCTTCAATTTACACATCAGACCGACATAATGAGAAATGAATTTGAAAGATTGGCTGCTCGACAACCAATTGAATTGCTCAGTATGAAACGGTAAGTCCTATTTCTGGGTTCAGCTGGCCTCAAATCATTGTTTAATTTTAATTTATTAGTAAAACTGCTGTAGCCATGTTAAAATAAATGTGGAAGAGAAAAAATTCTTGTCTGTTTTTATGCATTTATGTTTTTTCATGTAATAGTTATAATAGTGGTTCATATAATCTTGTGTTAATGTTCAAAAATATTCTTTGCACCATTATTTAAAAATGCAAACTATTTTAAAATCCAATAACAGGGGAATGGTAAATTGTAACTAAGTTCATGTTTAAGAATTCCCGAGGAAAGGTTCCTGGTTAGACATGTAGTGCTTCGCTCTTACACAGGCAACATTAGTAAACTCAGAGTACCTGCATAGTTTGACTTTGGTTCTACTGTCTCCCTTCCCATACCACTTTACTACAAAACTGTTTCAGGAAAAAAACCAAAACATCCTTTTGTTACTTTCACTAAATTGGAGAATTGGGTTGCTTAACATCTGAGGTCCCCTTCAGCTCTAAGAAAACTATGAAATTATGAGAACCAGTAACTAATCTGCAGAGCAGAGAGGGCCACATGAACAATAGGGTTATCCTTTCAGCATATGTACAGATTAAAAGAGGGATTTGAGTCTATAGAACCGAAGGACCAGATTTTTTCTTTTCTTGTGCTCCATTTCCTATCTGGCTTGAATGATAAAGGCAGGAAAACTCCTAGGACTCCTCAGTTCTGTTTCCAGGTGCTTCTGCTCTAAAGATTTTCATGATAGTAACTCCTTCATAACAGTATATTTTGAACCCATAAGTAGGTCATGATCCTTTAAGCAGTAGATTGTGAAGTAAGTTTAGTAAGACACCACAGCAATTTTTAAGGAAGTAGGATAGAAAATATCAGAATGCATTGCATGTAAAGGTAAGTTTTGTTTTGTGAAACTTCTGTTCACCTGTGTGTATTTGTGGACTAGATCACAGTGTAAAATATTTCTTACTGTGGGTTATGATTAGAAGTTCCCAAAATGCTGCATTCATGATGCATGTGTAAGCTTGTTTTTTTTTTAAACAAAATGGTTTATCACTTCTTAATCCCAGTTGCATATCCCTCAATTTTTCATAGGAATGATTTGGAGTTTTTACAATACCTAGTAAAAATAACAAAATGGAAATTAGAAGTTAGTTTGTAGTAACTCAGTAATGAGCTGAGATTTATGAAGAGTGTATGTTGCTGGCTGTGTTGGCAGTGTTGAAGGACTGGGTATTATGAAGACAGAGAAAAGGCTGAATTCAAAATGTAAAAATTATTATACCCCTTTGCCATTTTTTCTCTAGAGGGGTGTAGGTACGTGGGTGGGATGGTGGATGGATGTAGGTGCATATTTTTTTCTATCCTTTTTTCCCTTAATGTATTATAAACATCTTAATGTTTTAACTATTTAATAACATTTAATAGTTAATATAACAGTATGTTATATGAATGCACAGTGTAGCTTATTGAATTGTTCATTAAAGTGAACAGTTTTTTGTTACTGTGTATAATGATGCTAAATCTTATTTGTAAATTGATTGTTTCTTAGGATAAATAGATTTCTTATTATTGCAAGGTCTGCATCTTATCTTCAGTCTTCTGTAGTTTTTACAGTGTGCATAGACCCATGAGGCATTCTGTTGGGAGGAGAAAGAAAGGTTTGGAGGAATATGTGGTTTTATTTCATTGTTGTTTAATTTCAGATATGAACTTCCAGCCCCTTCCTCGGGTCAGAAAAATGACATTACTGCGTGGCAAGAATGCGTAAACAATTCTATGGCCCAGTTAGAGCATCAAGCGGTTCGAATTGAGAATCTGGAACTAATGTCACAGCATGGATGCAATGCCTGGAAAGTGTATAATGAGTAAGAAGCCTTTTTTGTTTTCCTTTAAACCCATGCCACCTTTAGTCTTGTTGTTTTTTTTTTTTTTAACATCTTTATTGGAGTATAATTGCTTTACAATGGTGTGTTAGTTTCTGCTTTATAACAAAGTGAATCAGTTATACATATACATATGTTCCCATATCTCTTCCCTCTTGTGTCTCCCTCCCTCCCACCCTCCCTGTCCCACCCATCTAGGCAGTCACAAAGCACCGAGCTGATCTCCCTGTGCTGTGCAGCTGCTTCCCATTAGCTATCTATTTTATGTTTGGTAGTGTATACATGTCCATGCCACTCTCTCACTTTATCACAGCTTACCCTTCCCCCTCCCCATATCCTCAAGTCCATTCTCTAGTAGGTCTGTGTCTTTGTTCCCGTCTTACCCCTAGGTCCTTCATGACCTTTTTTTTTTTCCTTAGATTCCATATATATGTGTTAACATATGGTATTTGTTTTTCTCTTTCTGACTTACTTCACTCTGTATGACAGACTCTGCGTCCATCCACCTCACTACAAATAACTCAGTTTCGTTTCTTTTTATGGCTGAGTAATATTCCATTGTATATATGTGCCACATCATCTTTATCCATTCATCTGTTGATGGACACTTAGGTTGTTTCCGATTCCTGGCTATTGTAAATAGAACTGCAGTGAACATTTTGGTACATGACTCTTTTTGAATTATGGTTTTCTCAGGGTATATGCCCAGTAGTGGGTCACATGTGCTGCTTAAAATTCAGGGCAAAGCATCTTGGGTGTTTTTAAACTAGGTTGATCCTCGGGACCCACAGTCTCATCATGTCTCGCACAGAGGACGGCAGAGGGTACAGGCGGTAGCTTGGCTGGTTGGCGATCTCCCAACAGCTGGATCTCCAGCAGTGTGAAGCTTTTGTTTGGGTTTTCCTCCTCCTTTTAGTTTTGCTTAATTTTTTAATTTTTTGTCTTCCTTTCCCCCCCTTTTTTTTTTTTTTTTTTTTTTTTTTTCCCCCCCTTTTTTAAAAAAATTTAAACAATTAAGACTTCAGAAGAACAGGAAGCTATGCTGTGGACAGGCACCAATTTCTTTAAAGAAACTCAATATGGACAAAGCATATGTATAAATTTCATTTTTATAAGGGGTTAGGGAGCTATTTTGTTTTTGTCCTTTATTTTTCCTGTCTTCTTTCTTTTACCCATCTCTTAGTTCTGCTTATAACACCTCACTTCCCTAGAGAAGGCCTGCCCCTCCATGGAGAATTTGGGGATTTCTTCTGGAATGGGGGGCATGAAGCCAGAAGGAGGCCTCTGTGCTGCCTCCCCGCCAGGTGCAGGAACTGCTGGACTCCCTGGTGGCCTGCTCCTGGCTGGCCCTTGGGCCTTGGAGATGATAGCGGCCAAGAACCACCTGAAAGGGGAGGACCAGGGCTTGGCCAGGAGAACTCAAGAAAGAAGATCTGTATTTTGGGTTTGTCCTCTTTAAGCAGTTGGAAGCCCAGGGCCACACCAGGACTTAAGAGGGAATCCATTCCTTCTACTGCCCTTTAAAACCAGAAGTTCTGAGGGGGGGAGGGACAGAGGGTGATCATCTCATACTGCCTGGCGTTTGAACGGCCAGCCCACCCCAGCTCTACAAGCCTACCTTTCTGTTAGTGATCTTCCTCCCAGAGGATGATTCCCAGAAAAAACTGTGTGCCAAACCTCTGCCTGGGACACAGCTGGGTCTTCGGCGGGCATCTGTCACTCCTGTGAGCTCAGCACCCATCACCTGCTGCCTCCTGCATCGTCGTCTTCCCAGATGTACCCGCCAGATGTCCAGGTCGTCAGACACCGCCTGAGTCCCCAAGACCCAGTTGTGACCATTGCTATAGGAACAGGGTGTCCTGAACCGGCTGCCACTGTCATCTCCTCACAGTGAGGGGTGTGCCCTGTGTGCCGGCCCCATGGTGTCACATATGGTGACAGTGTTGACCATCATCTCCCTCACTGCAGGGACTTACTGTTAGGGGCTACCCTCAGTGTAAATGTGTCTGATGGGAAAGGATGGACCTGGCTGATGGGGTGGACCATGGCCATTAGGTGCCTGTGGGCTTGTTGGCTGTGACCCTGTGATCCCACCTCCATTGTCTGTCTGTAGCCTTTCTTCCGCTCTCCAACGACTCTTGCAACCTCCCTACTCCTGGGCTTCTGAAGTGGGGTGTCTGCTCCCCTTGCCAGGAGAAGGAGAGCTGTCCCTGTTGCCCCTCACCTGGCTTCTAACCCCATTACAGCAAAACAAGGAAGGGAAAAGGAATTCTTCTTTTGTGTTTAGTTGTTTTTGTTTGTTTTCTCTAAACCAGCATAGGATGGATAGGGGACATGTTGGAGGGCATTTAAGTTGGTATATGACCAAGGAGGGCTTCCCCCCCAGAGCCGCAGCCCTTCGGCCCTGGGAGTTTAGGAGAGACCAGCACAGCATCAGCCCAGACTTGCAAACTCAGCAATGTGTTTGCTCACATTCTTTCCACCTTTTCTCAAGTCCTCTTCCTTCTCCTGGGCAGATGGCTAGCTGTGCTTAGCAGGATCCAGCAGGGCAGCAGGAGGTGACCAGGCCCCTCCCTCCCCTCCCTCAGCTGAAGTTCTTTGTCATCATCTGTCTCTTGTCTCTTCCCTCTGACTTCTCAGACAACCTAGAGTCTACTCTGAGCTGCAGCTGGGAGAGTACATCCCCTAACTGCAGTGTGCACCCCTTCTCTGCCCCACCTCCCCGCCTTCCCTCAGGGCAGCTGGCTGTCTGTCCATGAACACGTGGGAAAAACAGTCCCCGGACTTGGCACCCTCACCTTTCCCTGGCCACAGCCCACACTCTGAAGTCCTAGTGACGGTTCAAGCCTAACAGGTTATTTACCTTTTGCTTATCCTTCCCTTCTGCCCTCCCCAGGTCTCTTAGCTCTGACTAAGGTCTTGGAACTGTAGGTCACAGGTGGCTATACCTTTCGGGTGAGGTGGGCAGCCTCCACGTACCCTTGTCTTGCAGGACTCCTAGCCCGTCCTTGCTTGGTGGCAGGACCTCCTTCCCTAGCTCCTGAGGCCCAGCTTGTTAGCCTCAAGTGCCTGTCTCTCTTCTCCCTCCCCTGTTCTCCACTTCATCCACCTCAGACACCCAGCAGCCGGGTGGAAGTCAGCCCGAAGTCAAGGCTGGCTCTGCCCAGTCGGCGGACTAGCCTCAGTTAGGCCCAGGTAGCCATCCTCTCCCTTAGCCACTCTTCACCTCTTCCCACTGGAGTCAGCCTTGTCGTCTCTTCCTGCCTTTTACCTGGGTCTTGGGCCTGGCAGCCGCCCTGGGGAGCATCATCTCAGCGCCACCAATTTGTTAGTCCTGTCCAAGTTCTAGGAGTTTCCAACCGTTAAAATAGCAGTCAGTTATTCTTGTCTTCTGGGATCTGTGAAAAGGATAGCCTTTGGAGGGAGGATCTGGGCCTCAGCCCTACAGATCTGAGCTCCATTCCCCCTCAGTGAGAGGAATCAGCAAGACAGATCATAGTGCCTTATTTCATTGCCCTCCCTGCCCGACTGCCTGGCTCAGTTGGCAGTACAAGGCTTCTTTCTCCCTCTCGGTGTTCATCTGCCACTTAAACTCTCACCCCCCACCCACAGATAGCCTCGTGGGAGGATGAATGCCCCGGTCTTTGCCCCATCCTTTCCTAAGAGCTGCAGCCAGGCACGTGACCCCCAGCCACCACAGGGTGCTCACTAGCAGCTTCTGCTGAGGCCAGGGCTGTGCTGCAGACAGGTTCACTCTCGGCCACCTCCTCCCCAGCAGGTCCTGCCTCTTACCTCCAGCCAGGAGGATGCAGTCTTTTCCTTGGAGACCAGCTCCATCTGACCCCCTCCTGGGCACCGGGACTAGGGTTGCAGGCCTTAGCACCCTCTCATCCCAGAGGCACTGGGACAAGAGAATGGAATTCTCTCCTCTCACCCACATGTGGTTCGTGCCCCCATGGCTGCCTTTCTGAGGGAGTGTATTAAATGTTTACTTAAGAAATACCGTGTTTACAGCTGGAGGAGAAACGTGCCCCATGCTGGGTGGAGATTTGACTCTCTGGATGGCGCCTGGCTCCTTTATGGCACTGCCACTGGTGACCCCAGAGCGAATGAAGGCAGGGGACCAGGGCCCAGGCCCTGCACCCCCTCTGCCCCCGACCCTGCAGTGCTAAGACCACTCACCAGTCTTGTTTTTTTAATGTGGGAAGTAGAGTAGAAGTGGGATAAAAATAGTATAGCTGGACTTTCACTTGGGGTCATGTCCTAGAACTACAACCCATATGAAAGGCTTTGAGACCCATCTCAAAGTTTAAGGGAATATAAACCTAACACATTTGTTGTGTAATACTGCAATAATGAGTTCTGAGGTCTGATTTACAAATCACAGCTTGGTAGAATCTAATCCTTAATGTGGGGGGTTGCTTATACAGTTAGCTCTCATTATTGCATGTTGTGCTTTATAAAGTGGCCTTGGATACTGAATTAACAAATACTGAACCATTTCTCCTGGGAGAAATATGTACATATGTATATATACACATCTCAGATAGATTATAATCTTAAATCCTTTAAAACAGCTCATCCCGGCAGATTCTGTATTTTCTTTATTTTATAAAAGAAAAGATAAAGTTCAGAAGTGTTAAGTAACTTGCCAGAGTTGGAAAGCAAACTCTATCCTTTGGTCATCCCTGCATAAGACCTGAAACAAGAAGGTGGCATATCTCCTTGTTCCAATGCAGCTGGAAATGTGCATGCCCAGCAACTAAAATTTTTTGCTGCTCTGAGCATGTCCATGAATGCTCACAAAACACTGCAGGTATTGATTTTGGGGTTACACATAAATTTGAGTGAGTAGGCAATTCACATATACAGAATCTGCAAATGATGAGAATTGACTGTAAGTAGAGAATTAACACCAGAAACAAAAGTGCCACTAGCTCCTGTTTCTGTTCCATATAACTAGCTTTAGCTTTAGGTTTTGTTATCTATTTAGGGTTCAGTTTCCAACTTGTAAAACTCAGTGGTTAGATGATCTCCATGGCTCCTTTGGGCCCTAAAATCCCGAGTCTCTTTTAAGGAGAAAAGGCCATTGAACTACACAACTGTGCATAAAACTATTTGTTAGATTCCTGAAACAGTAAAGCAAAAATCACAAAATAATGAATACCTTTTCTCAAGTTTTCAGAATCATGTTTAAATGTCTGTTGGCCACATAAGGATCTTTGGGCAAAATCCAGAATTTAAGAAACTGCAGAACAAACAATTCAGTTTCTACTGTGAATATGTTGCAAGGAGAATAAAGGGAAAATGGGGTTGGGATGATTAAGAAATTTGAGAACAAATCAGTCCCCAAAATGTGTATTTCACAAAGTGGAAAAATGTGATCTTTGTCCTCAGGAAGCTTTATCTAGTTGAGGAGGCAAGATATTCTAGGCCAGATAACTAGTAGTTCATTTTTGGCAGTATGGGGGCAAGTGCTGCATTGTGTGTTGTGGTCCATAAACTACAGAGATCCAAAGAAAGGGACGTTAAGGATTAGGACCATTATAAAAGAGTGAGATTAGGGAATGGGGGTGGGGGTTATTAAAGTATAGTTGATTTTTGTGTTAGTTTGAGGTATACAGCATAGTGATTTAGTATTTTTGCAGATTATACTGTAGGTTATTACAAGATAACGGGTATAATTCCCTGTGCTATACAGTATATCTTTGTTGCTTATCTATTTTATATATAGTAGTTTGTATCTGTTAATCCCATACCCGTAATTTGTCCCTACTCCCCTTCTCTCTCACCTTTGCTAACCACAAGTTTGTTTTCTATATCTGTGAGTCTGTTTTGTTTTGCATGAATTTTCATTTGTATTATTTTTTAGATTCCCCATATAAGTGACATCGTACAATATTTGTCTCTGTCCAATTTGTTTATGTCACTAAGCATATTGTTTTCTAGGGCCATCCACATTGCTGCATATGGCAGTATTTCTTTTTTATGACTGAGTAATATTCCATTGTATATGTGTATATATGCACCATATCTTAATACAGTCATCTGTTGATGGACATTCGGGTTGCTTCCATGTCTTGGCTATTGTAAATAGTGGTGCTGTGAACATTGGGGTGCGTGTATCTTTTCGAATTAGAGTTTTCATTTTTTCCGGATATATACCCAGGAGTGGAATTGCTGTATCATGTGGTAGTTCTATTTTTAGTTTTTTTTTTTTTTAGGACCCTCCATACTATTTTCCATAGTAGCTGCACCAATTTACATTCCCACCAACAGTGTACAGGGGTTCCAGAAAAGGGTGAGATTTGGATGTTTAAAGGAGAGTGAGAACATTCCAGGAATGGAGGAGAATATAGGTGAGGGGATGGAGGGTGGGGAGGAGGCATTAAATTGAAGAGAGCATTGCTTTCATCTTGCCTAGAAACCTTTAATAATTTTCCCTTACCTACAAGGTAAGGTCCAGGCTATTTTAACATGATATTCAAAGCAAAAGGCTATACCTCAGTTGTAGACTTTCACTCCAGCCAAACTAGTCCTCTCCTTGGTGATTATCATAAACTCTGCCTCCGAACCTTTACTCAGGCCTTATCTCCACCTGGAATACCTTTAACTATTCTACCCAAATTCGACTTATTGAAGGCCCAACTTTAATCTGTTTCCTTTTCTTCCCTGATTAAAATTCTGCCTCTGGTACTCTCTCTCTCTTCTGAGTAACTATACGAATTATTATGCACATCACTTGTTGTACACTTAATTACATAACACTTTATAGTGTTGGTCATTCTCCTGCACATATTTTGTCTCCTGCAAACCCAATGGATGCTTCTCCAGAGGAGCTGTACTATATTTTCTTTCTCGGTGGTAGGATTTGAGGGTGTCAAATATGCTAGGCAGAAAGCTTTTAGCTCTAAGTAGGTCTTGGTGCCGAACTGCTTTAAAAAAAATAGTATTTCATTAATAAGGAGAGAATTCTGTACTTGAAACTGAAGGGAAACCTTCAGGGTCAGCCCCTAATTTTACAAATAAACAGACTTAGCCCAAGTGATGTCAGGTGACTTGTCAAAGGAAACATAGCTATTTAGGGCAGAGCTGGGACTAGAAGCCAAGTCTTCTGACTCCCATGATGCAGTGTGATCAGTTTCAGCATTCAGAGTACTTGAGGAGAGACCTGTGTACTTAAGAGGGAGGCTGGAAGAAGGGAGAAGACCACAAACTGGGCTTTTAGGAAGAGGTGGTTCAAAAGAAAGCTCCCTATTAATGGTTGGAGGTCAGGAATAGAGTACTAAGCTTTATTGTCCTCAGCATGGAATGAGTGTCAAAGTCAGGGAAATTGGGATGAGCTAAAGGAAAGGTGGAGAGGCACCACTTTTTGAAGACCAAATCTCTAGAGAATTGGAGTTAGTTATAGGAAATCAGTCAGTGGAGATAGGAGAATAACTCAGAAGGGCAGCAGGAAATTTGAGTCACAAAAGCCGGGAAACAATACTGGATCTAGAGCAAGAGCATAGTAGGGCCAATGTGGTTGAAATGGACTCTACTGCCTTAAGAGGAAATTGATATGGTATGTAAATTATATCTCAGTAAAGCTGTCATTTAGGAAAAGATAGATTTTGAACTTTACCCTTGAATCACTTCTCTAATGATAATAATCACATGGAACTCTGTATGGCTCAACTTCTTCCCTCTGCTCATTAGAGCTGACTTGGACTGGAATCTGAATCTGTAGCCTTCCACAACAGTTTTTTTCTTCTCTCTAGCTAGCAGTAGACGGGAGAGTGACAAGATAAATGTAGGTAAAGGAATAAAGAGATAAAAGGGAGTGTAAATGAGTGCACTCATCAGATACTTCCCATCTTGTCTATGAAAAGACAATAACAGTTTAAGAAGTGATATAAGTACACAAAATCAGAATATCAGTAGATGGTTTGGGCTCAAGAGTTTAAAAGACCTGAAGTAGAATTCACCTCTGACACTTAACCATGTTACCTTGACCAAGTTACTTTATCTTTCTTAGTGTCCTAACATGTGAAATAGGGATAATCATACCTACCTCAAAGAATTCTTATGAGAATTAAATTAGTTTTATAGAGTGTCTAACATGGTGTTTGGCACAGAGAGCTCAATTAATATTAACTATTTTTAGCAGAAAAACTTGACCTTGTATCAACTAGATAGTACATTTTAGTTGGTACTATGTGATTTTAATGTACATTAATCTGATTTTCTTTTTCTTTTTTAGAAATCTAGTTCATATGATTGAACATGCACAGAAAGAGCTCCAGAAGTTAAGGTAAATTGTTTTCCTTCTTATTTTATAATAAAGTTGAGGTGAATCTTAATAAATAGAATGAGAAGAAAAAGGAACCATTGGACTATAGTCATATGAGAGTAAATAATTGATGATCCACTGTGTCCAGTGTCTAGTGTTGGGTTTGCCCTACCTGAGTGGAGGAGAAATAGACCTGAGGTCTGAAAACATCTCTACCAGGTCATTTGCAGTTTGCAAGTCTGCAGACATTGAAAAGGTACTTTTAGAAGGGGAAAAGTTGTAGAATAACATGTATAATCTGATTTATGTTAAAAACACAAGCAAACAAAACACCCTAATCTATACATGCACATACATATACAGGAAAGAATCTGGAAAGACACTCACCAAAAACTGAACAGAAGTTATCAGGGAGAAGGAGAAGCACATGGGAGGAGGGACTTTGGATTTTTATTCTGTCTGTGTGCGTGCTTGTGTGTGTGTATTTAATTCTTCACCATGAGCATGTTTTATGAAATTTGTAATTGAAAAATAATGAGAAGAAAGTTAAAAAAAAAAGTAAGTTATTTCCTGGAATTAGTCTGTGACTATATATGTGTATATATATACACATACATATATCTGTTCTTCTCAAAGGATTAAAAATGTATTAGTTATAGATTTTTCTGCTGATTTTAGTCTTATTTTAGGATGTAGGTGGGTTGTATAAATAATTTTTTTTACAGGAAACATATTCAAGACTTAAACTGGCAGCGAAAGAACATGCAACTCACAGCTGGATCTAAATTAAGAGAAATGGAGTCAACGTGAGTATCTACAATCCCATCACCTTTTAAATTGCTTAGCACATTTTAAGATCAAGATTCAACAATATAATTCAAACAGTATTCAAATGGGGTGCCACAGGTGTCACAGAAATGCTGTTTTCTGAATCCCACTCTTCACCGCCTCTTCCTCTTTCTGAAGTATGGGCTCGGAAGGAAATGAGAGTTAGAAACAAAAACTGAACCACTGCTAATTTATTCTGATCTTAGAGCACCCTGTTTTCTGCCCAGTACTTCTGCTCTGAATAGGATTTTACCTATATTCTCCTTTTAAAAGGAAAAAAGTCTATTTTTTAACTCTTGCAGGAGGGAGATTCCATACTTTCTTGATAATTTTATGTGTCTCAGGGGTTTTTTCCCTTTGTTTATATATATATATATATTTTTTTTTTTTTTTTTTTTTTCCTGTACGCTGGCCTCTTACTGTTGTGGCCTCTCCCGTTGCGGAGCACAGACTCCGGACGCGCAGGCTCACCGGCCATGGCTCACAGGCCCAGCCGCTCCGCGGCATGTGGGATCTTCCCGGACCGGGGCACGAACCTGTGTCCCCTGCATTGGCAGGCAGACTCTCAACCACTGCGCCACCAGGGAAGCCCCATATATATATTTTTTAATGTTGTTCTTCATGTATTCGAATAAGTTTGTACAAATCTCTGAATATAGTCATGATTTTTTTTATCATTTCTTTTCATTTTTGATTTGCTCTTTCCCTAACCTCCCTGCCTCCATCACCCACATCATTGTCCTTGTTCCACCTTCCCCTCATCCTCTGAGTACCCCATGTTATCAGTCTATTATGCATCTTTCCACACTGTTCTTCAAACTAATATAATCTTCTACATGTACATGTGTGTTTCTTTTCATTTGTCCTAGAGATTTTTTTCTGGGGGAAGGGGAAGATTCCTTAAATCTGTGGAATTTTATCTTAGCAGTTGTAGGAATTTCTTCATCATTTTTCTTTATTGCCTCTGCCCTATTTTCTCTCCTTTTTTGTTAATCCAATTAAATACCAACTTCACTCTTTCATATCTCTTCAGCTCTTTCTAATTTGTTCTTTTCTAAATTAAACTTTTTATTTTGAGATAACTGTAGGTTCACATGCAATTTTAAGAAGTAATACAGAGGTCCTATACACCCTTTACTCACTTTCCCGCCTAATTACACCTCAGTTTTTGAAAATGTAAAGCTAAAAGTGAAGGTTAGTGTTATGATCCTGGCTGAAAATATATATACTATAAAAATCTTATAAGGGAAAGTTCACATTAAGTAATTTCCCCCCGTTTTTCTTTTCTAGTTGGGTATCCCTGGTCAGTAAGAATTATGAGATTGAAAGGACTATTGTACAATTAGAAAATGAACTCTTTCAAATGAAGCAGCAACATGGAGAGGCAAACAAAGAAAACATACGGCAAGACTTCTGAAAAAGACTAATCTGGTGGGTAGAAAGGAAGGCATGTTGGGCTTTCACAGAAGATCAAACATCTGAACTGTGAAAAACAACAGCATCTTACGGAAATCATCAGTGGTTAAATGTTTAGAAAGCATAGAATGTGGACTGTTATATTCTGTTTGTACATTTCAGCAAAATAAAAAATTTCAACATGGTGGCTTGTTTTGTCTTGTGTTTTTGCCATTTAAAAAAAGAACTTTAGACTTTCAAAATAAGTATGACTTTATAATAATGTTTGTAGAATTAATTTTGAGTCACCAGGATCATATTTTGTACCCAAGAGATCTTTATTGAAAGTTTTCAACATGTACAAGAAGTTGGAAACTTTTGATTTATAAGTATTTCAAATAAAGAGGTAGTTGGACTTACTTGGTGGTCCAGTAGTTAAGACTCCATGCTTCCGATGCAGGGAACACGGGTTCGATCCCTGGTTGGGGAAGTTTGCATGCTGCTCAGTGCGGCCAAAATAAAATGAAAGAGGTAGTTCTAAACGACTTCTTAATGACCAGACAAGACTAAAGAAATACAATGACTCCATATATGTCATCTGTGATGATGATCATCGTCATAAGTAACACATAAAGCTTAGTATGTGCTGAGCACTGTTCCAAGCACTTTAGGTAGATGAACTAAACTTACATGAATAGAAAAATAATTGGATCCTCACAAAAACCTATGGAATTACATACTGTTGTTCCCATACACAAACTGTAACAGGTGCTGATTAATTTGCCGAAGTTTTATTAGCTAGAAAGCATCATCCAAATTTTGAACCCAGTAGTCTAGCACCATGGTTGTGCTCTTACCCTTCTACTTGTAAAGAATGAAAAAGTAAAAAGAGTCCTGCCCAATTCAGAAAAAAATATTTGCAATATATCAAATAAGTCATAGTCTTACTGTACAGAGAGACCTTTTACAAATCACTGAGAGGTGAACTCTCACCAGAAAAAAAAGATGTTTAACATTAAGAATACAAATTAAACCTAGCACTTTTTAAACCTATTATGTTGGTAATGGTCAGTGCCTTTTTTTTTTTTGAGGTATAATTGACAATATTATGGGTCAGTGATTTTGAAGGTACATGTATAGGAAAAACAGGTTACAGAATAATTTGTATAATGTAACCTCATTTACGGTTTTTTTAAAAATCATCTTAAAATTTCTGTGTATTGCACTCATACCTCCTCTATACAGTAAGTATGGAGTTTCATATGTGAGCTATCAAATATTTCATATTATAAGTTCATACCATCTATCAGTTCAGTTTTACTCATCTTTTGAATAGCAGTATTTATATAATTTATTGAATATTTTCATATTTTGCTCTTTTTAAAATAAAAATGATGGAAATGGATATATGAGATATGCTGGAACTGGCAAATCTTTAGCCTCAGTCGGAAGCTCATTGGTCTTGAGCTGTTGACTGCTTAATTATGGAGGACAATAAATTAGAGAAACGTATGAAGTACTTATGAAACGTCAAAAAAGGTATAGTGATGAAGTTTAAAAATCTTTAAAGGTTTAGAATCGGTATCCAAAACACATCACAGCGAGGGGCTCCACACTTCCACTGCACGGGGCCCAGGTTCGACCCCTGGTCGGGCAACTAAGATCCCCATAAGTTGTGCAGCACGCAACACACAGCACGGCCAAACAAAACAAAGTGCATCACAATGGTCTAAACCTAAACCCTGGGGAAAGTTCAGTAGCATGTTAAAACTGTTGAGGATAATGCTTGCTACATATTTCTTTATGACGAGTTGGGGGGAAAAGGAATTACATTTTAATTTCCTCTTAACAGATTTTTTAAAATTTTAAGATGAGGTGATAATACACTTTGCAAAGTTAGCCACCCTCAAGGGGAAAAACACTAGTGTGATTTAGGATTTTTCTATGTTCTAGCTTTCTGTAAACAACATCCTTCTCCCACCCTCCCCATTTTTCTAACTTTTCTAAATTTATTTAGGAATTTATATACAAAAGTGACTTTCTCTTATATGGGCAAATACCTGAAAGGTTATATACTAAGTATTTTTAAGCAGCTAAAGATCTATGAATCGTTTCAAGGGTTCTGTGAACTGCTTCACATCCTGTGAAATGCTTTATATGTGTGTATGCAATTTTAATAGAGTGTAATTTACATCAGGTTGAACTTGATGTATGCGAGAAAGATCCCTCCCCGGGTAGACATGACTGTTCTGTCAAATCAAGTTCCAATCCTCCTGTGTCCCTTCTCTCCCTTCTCCCCAGATTCAACCTCAGCTGAACTGCATCCTTTTTGAATAAGAAGCCCATCGTTTCCAGTTTTCATCTGCACTGCCAAAACTGAATGGTTGGATGGAAAACATGTGGTCTTTGGCGAGGTGAAAAGAGGATATGAATGTTGTGGAAGCCATGGAGTGTTTTGGGTCCATGAATAATAGCAATACCGGCAGGAAGATCACTATTGCTGACTGTGGACAGCTAAAAAGTTTGAGGGAATTCCCTGGTAGTCCAATGGTTAGGACTCCATGCTTTCACTGCAAGGGCACAGGTTCAGTCCCTGATCGGGGAACTAAGATCCTGCAAAATTTTTGACTCGTGTTTGATCTTAACTACCAGCCGATTTCTTCCGTAGCTCAGGAGAGCACCCCTCCACCCCCATCTACTCACAACCTCCTATAACCTTTGTGCTCTTACTGCAGTTCTTTGGGTTCCATGTTTTCCTTATCACAAGTCTAGCTGGATTGCGGAGTTAAGTTTATGATTAGTGATATAACAACAACAAAGCCCATTCTGCAAGATCTGGGGGAAAGGAGACCTGCTACATAGAAAAAATCAATCAAAATATCTTCAGGCTCCTCAACATCAACTCTGGAAGCTAGAAATAAGACAATGGAGGGACTTCCCTGGTGGCGCAGTGGTTAAGAATCAGCCTGTCAATGCAGGGGACACAGGTTCGAGCCCTGGTCTGAGAAGATCCCACATGCCACGGAGCAACTAAGCCCGTGCGCCACAACTACTGAACCTGCGCTCTACAGCCCGCGAGCCACCACTACTGAGCCCACGCACCCTAGAGCCCATGCTCCGCAACAAGAGAAGCCACCGCAATGAGAAGCCCGTGCACAGCAACAAAGAGTAGTCCCTGCTCACTGCAACTAGAGAAAGCCCGCATGCAGCAATGAAGACCCAACACAGCCCAAAATAAATTTAAAAAAAAAAGCCGATGGAGCAGTGCCTTCAGAATTACGAAAAATTTCCAACCTGGGACACTGTGTATAGTCAAGTTAACAGTTAAGTGTGGGGATAGAATAAAGACATTTTTAGTCAAGTGAGATCTTGAAAACATTTACTTCCTGAGCATCTTAAGGAGCTACTGGAGGATGTGCTTTTCTGACCCAACACAGGGAAAAGGTAAAGGGACTCTTCCAAAGAGATTGGTGGAAGAGGATCCCAGGATTATATCTGTACACTCAATAGAGGGCAGCCATTTCAGGTTGGAATAGTATGACTCAAGAGACTAACATTTTGAGAGCTCTCATCACAAGGGTGCCCACTACAATGGCACCATCCTTATACCCTGAGGAGCAGGATGCCCAGGTGAGCTGGCCCACATTTCTGACCTACACTTGGCTTGCTCTCTGTCCTGTTGAAGTTCCTGTTCTCCCCTCCTTGACCTGCTGGAAGTGTTCTGCTATATCCTACTTCTGGAGAGCTTAGAAGTAGAAAATTCATAGGAGTTCATCTCCTGAACATATTCCTGCCAAAGGTGCAGCCCCTAGCCTATATTCCAGCTTTGTCAGAAAGCCCAAAAATGCTGATGAGTCTTTCGTCTCCCAGGATTCACTTATAGCCTTGTTGCCTAACTTCCCCAGAAGAGGCTCTTGTAGCTGTTAGGGAAGCTAAAGCCAGACCATGACCCAGAGATTGTTCAGCTTATTTTCTCCCAGGGGTCTTCATCCAACCCACTGAAATACTGCCTTCTGCTCTAGACCGAATATTTGTGCCTTCCGCCAAATTCATATGTTGAAACCTAATCTCCGGTGTGGTGGTATTTGAGGATGGGGCCTTTGAGGTGTGATTAGGTCATGAGGATGGAGCCCTCAGGAATGGTATTAGTAACCTTATAAAAGTGACCCCAAAGAGCTCCCTCCCACCTTCTGCCATATGAGGACACAGTGAGAAGATTGCTGTCTATGAACCAGGAAGTAGGCTGTCACAAGACACCAAATCTGCTAATACCTTAATCTTGGATTTCCTGCCTTCAGAACTGTGAGAAATCAATGTTTGTTGTTTAATCCACACAGTCTATGGTATTTCTGTTATAGCAGCCCAAATGGACTAAGATACCTTCTCTTTACATAGCTAGGTTATGCTTCTCAGTTTTTATGTTAATTACCTTTCACGTTTATTTACATGTAGCTAACTGTGGTAGGCTGAATAATGGCCCCCAAAGATGTCCTAATCCCTGGCACCTATAAGTGTGTTACTTTCCTTGGCAAAAGGAAATTTGCAAATGGATTAAGTTAAGGTTCTTGAAATGGGGAGATTATCCTGGATTATCTGGGTGGCCCAGTGTAATCACAAGCGTCCTTATAGTAGGGAAGTAGGAGATCAGAGAGGAGAGAGGATGCTAAACTGCTGGATTTGAAGATGAAGGAAAGGGACTATGAGCTAAGGAATGTACGGAGCTTCTTGAAACTGGAAAAGGAAACAAACTGCCCCTAGAATGTTCTCCCAGAGAAACATAGCCTTATAGATCAGTTTTAGACTTCTAACCTCCAGAATGATAAAATAATAAATTTGTTTTGCTTTAAGCTACTGTTTGCAGTAATTTTCTACAGCAGCAGTAGGAAATTAATACAGTAATAAATAATAAAAATAACTGTTTGCTTAAAATGGTAAAAAAAAAAAATGGTTATCATAGGCAATTCAGAAAATGCAGGCAAAAAAGAAGAAAATGAAAATTATTCATAAACCCACCACTCAAAGATAGCCACTCTATGTATTAGAAGATGCTATTTTAATTTAATGCCAGAAGAGCACATGGTCACAGATAGAAACCCCAAATTTCATTTAATTACAATACATAAAATCAAAAATGAATAAGATAAACTAATGGGATACCTTGTAAACATTTATGAATGGATGTATATATTTTACCCTATTTTCTACCCT